ACTCGGCATGAAATGTGTTGCCCTCGCTGTCATGGGCGCGTCAGATTCGTCGACCATAGCATCCACGAAATGCACAAAAGAGATCGTTGCATGCATGTAATATTCCCCGGCCGATCTCGACCTCCCACGCTCTGTCATGCTCTTTCATCCGAGAATACTCGACGCTTTCGAGTCCGTCATCCCCGTGAGTGTATACCAGCTGCTCGTGGGGTTCTGGCAAAATGCTAGCCCGGTTGATGTTGTAAAGGTGCGTCGCCGACCCCATGACGCTGCGCCACCGTGCACGTCCCACCAATCCTGTGTAAATTTCTGCACTTGACAAATCCAATTCAACCGCATCCCGGACTCTGTGAACCTCGAATACACGAAGCGGTACAATCAGTTCCTGCGCTGTACACGAACTGTACTCGAACTGCTTCCTTGTAGGGCAGATGATATTAACGAAGAGGAAAAATTGGAAGTGTTTCGATTGGCATCGCCATAATGTACTAAGATCACTATGCAATACTCATGCTCAAATGTAGAGCAGCCAAGTGCAGAAGGAACTTCTCGACGTTGAGACATTGATGGCCTATGCGCCCATCGTGGAGGTGTCGCGGGTGCGGCTAGCGGCCTTCTCAAACCGACCACGCACACTCGACATCGCGACATCATTAATCAACCCCATTTGGTCACTACATTCTCCCCCTGATGTCGCCTTGATCCCTCACGTCTTCTCGCGTAGGTCTTAAACAAGCTTCTTGAAATGCGCAACTTGCTTGATTGTTCGCTCCAACTCCCATGCTGCTTCGTGCTCTGGCGAACCATGCTACTGGACAAGATATTTCTTTTTGCGATTGAATTGCCGTTGCTTTAGCAGCGCTAATACGATAAAGAGCTCGTTTCCTATGTGGTCCAGGATTTGGGGCGCAGCCTTTGGAATCGGACGGATTTGGAATCGAGATGTATTTGGCACGTGGCGCTTCAAGCGTTCAACGTTGAAGACGTTATGCAGGCGCCACATTGACGCAGGTAGGGCCAACCGCATCTCATTAGAGTTGATTATTCCCGTTTGAAGGGACCAATGAATCGCGGTACGAAATTTGACTTTTCTCGCTTGTCGAGTAGCTGTGCATGCTTTAACGGAATGTCGCGTGTAGCTAGCTTGCATGACGTTGTCGCCGACTTCAAATTTCACTTCAGCTCTCTTACTATCATAGTACTCCTTTTGGCGGGCTTGATCCTTTACGCGGTTGTCCAGGGCCATCTTTAGCAACTCCTTGCGTAGCTCAGCAAAGTTCTTCGTGTACTCGTTCAACAACAATACGTCATTTAACACTGGATTGCGAAGCTTTCTGCTAGTATCAACTCCACAAGGGGTCATTCCCGTCGATGTTTGTACGAGTCCTTGATGAGCATAGTCGGTGGTTCCAAGATGCTCAGTCCATTCGTGACCCAAGTAGGACACTTGGCAACGTAGAGCATCTTCTAAAGTTCGGTTTGCCGTTCTGTGGCTCCATCTCTTTGCACTCGCGCGGCCGTAGTCATGTCGTGTTTCAAGTTCATGATGGTCATCAAATCTTGCCAAACTGACTAGTGTTTTTGGATCTCGATCACTGATAACGACAGCAGGCAGACCATGGTTGCGGACAACAATGGCAAAATACCCTTTACAGGTTGGTGTGCATCAATGTTCGACGTCGTGGCGCAGTACTTGGGCCATTTCGATGTCTTGTCGACACAAAATATGATTGAATCTTTGCCATTGGAAACAGAGAGCCATGTGATCCAGTCGATGGAAACTGTATGCCAGTATTCGTCAGGAGACTTGATTGTGATCATTCGACCGTTGGCTTTGGCACTACTCGACTTATAGCGTACACAGGTTTCGCAAGTTGCGTCGTACAGCTGGATATCTTCGTCCATTCGGTCCCAATAGTATCATTGAGCTGCATGCAACTGCGCGCGCCGAACCCGAGGGTGGGCTGCGGTGCTCGTGTCATGGCTTTGCTGAGAAAGTCGCCTTTGGGAACACACAACTTCCAAATTTGGTCTTTCGACTTCACGAAGTAGAGTTCATCCTTTTTACAAAAGTAGTCGCATCTTCGAATTCATTGGTTTTGGGGTAGACTTGGATGAACTTTTGTTTCATACGTTTCCAATCTCAAGAGAAACGTCCTGTCTTTCCGACTGCTGCTCAAGGACGGATTTCAAGTGGCGAAATGGGACCTCGACGTGGAGGTTCTGATCCGAGACACGTTTGTCCTACGGTTCACTCATCACCGCGGGCTCTACGTTCTGCAATCATATGCCGATCAGCTCAACTGCTGTCTTGTGCGACTGCCAGCACCCAAGCTGGTCCAGTGGCACATGCGGCTGGCCCATCTCAACTTCGGAGCCGTCAAGGAAGCGGCACGCGACGGTACCTTGGCAGGATTATGTCTGTCCAAGAATGATTTGGCTCAAGACTAAAAGTGCGAAGTGTGTGAAGTGGCCAAAGCTCGTCGGATGAGTTACAAGAACACCAAGCCATACCGCGCACATGTTTCGCTTGAGCACGTGCACGTGGATAAAGGCGGGCCGATCAGTCCCGCAACATACGGTGGGAAGAGGCACTACGAGTTGTACGTTGACGAAGGCACTCGTTTCAAGTGGCTGTTCCTTTTCACTTCCAAGTCGGAGACCTTCGAGGACTTCAAGACGTTCCAAGCGCTGGTGGAGCGGCAACACGGCTTCAAGCTCAAGACCATCATGTCGGACAACGCGAAGGAATACCAGTCCAAGGAACTCAGTGCGTACAGTGCCGAGCTGGGGATCGAGCAGCACTTCACGAACGCGTACTCCCCGGAAGAAGACTGCGTCGCGGAGAAGGCTAACTACACGGTGATGATCAAATTGCGCTGCATCCTCCAAGCAAGCGGCATGGACAACCGGTACAGGGGTGAAGCGCTCGGCTATGTGGTTTACACGGAGAACCGAAGTCTGACCAAGGCTCTCGGCGGCAAGACCCCCTTTGAAGCTCTGTACGGCCGCAAACCGAACGTCGAACATCTCCAACTATTTAGCTGCACAGCGTTTGCGTTCGTCGACAAGGCCAAGCGTACAAAGTTGGACCCAAGAGCGACCAAGTGCATTTTCCTGGGATACACGAGCCAGCTCAAGAACTATCGGCTTGTTGACTGCGAATCGGGCGAGCTGTTCCAATGTCGCTCGGTCAAGTTCATGGAAATCTTTGTGCCCACCGACGGCAAAGCTGTGCAGTTCGACGACCAAGTTTCGACCTTCCAGCCCGACGACACCGACCCAAGTGACGACGCAGTGGCGGCGCATCCAAGGCATGACAGCTTCAAAGACTCAGTGGGGGCAGCGGAGGTGCCATCGAAATACGGGACGGACGCCGCCAGCGAGGTTGATCCAAGCTCTGTTGTTGACGAGGAAGAGCCACTGCAGCTTGGTGACGAGGCCAACTCGAGCGACCACGACTCAAGTGACTCCGACGTCGAATTCGTCGACCCAGCGGGACTGAAAGCTATCTCTGGCGGCCACCACCAAGTGTTTTCCGTCGATGTGATCAAGGACACACCGCAATCGTTCGCCAACATCGAAGCAAGTCCCAACAAGCAAGCATGACTGGACGCTACTCAAGAAGAATACGACTCGTTGGTCAAAAACGGCACTTGGACCCTGGCGGCGCTGCCCCCTGGACGCAAGGCGTTGCCTTGCAAGTGGTTGTGGCGCAAGAAATTCGACGTCGTGGGCCGCTTTACCAAGTACAAGGCTCGCCTGGTGATCAAGGGATTCATGCAGCGTTACGACTACGAAGTAATCTTCGCGCCGGTGCTTCGTTACAACACGCTGCGCTTGGTCCTCTCTTTGGTTGCGTTTCACGGGTGGCAGATCCGGCAAATGTACGTCAAGACAGCGTTCTTGAACGGACTCATGGACGTTCTCGCCACTTTCAGGATTGACAAATCCGTCAGGACATCGCCAGTCTCCCACCGTGTGGCCCGTTGACCGCAGAAGTGATCAAGAGCTTCGAGGTTGTTGTACAAGTCCGGAGCACGATTCGACAGAAACAAATCCACCGTTCCGAGGGCCAAACGAACAGTGTACTCCGCTGGATCGGCCAC